CATGGACGGTAAGTTAGGACTTCCTCGTGTACCGTTGGTGTCTTTTAAGTCAGGTGAATCCTAACCGTGGATGTAGTAATTAATAACCAGCGGTTGCATAACCCCACTGACACCGACGCAGCCTGTAGCCTTTTAAATTCTTGTTTCTTGTCCTCCTCAGTAGTCACGATTCCTGGACGTCAGAGCACAGTGGCAAAAGGGATGATTCGGCTTACTCATGGATTTGCTTCCGTAGGTTTGCTGTTCGGTCAAGAGCTTCTTTTCCATGAGTGTTACGTAGCCGATCAAATTACATCTGACATGACACTTGGAGATAACTACTTAAGCCGGTATGCCTGCGTCATCGATCTAGCCACCGGAGTCTTGACAATACGTGGCCACCTACTCCCACTAAACTTCAAACCTAGTTAGGGCTAAGTGGAAATGCATTTTCTTTAGGTGCTAGCACCGTAGATGTTGAAGGTGAGATGTCGGAATTTGTTTCGGCTGTTAGTCTTACGGTCGACTGTAAAGTTTGGAAGTGCCTGGAGAAGTTATTGCGTACACACAAGCAAGCTTCCACGTAAAACGGTACATTTTTGGGTAGAACGAACGTACTTAAGCGTCATATTAAACAGGGTATGCGTCACCAATACGGCAAGGACGTGGGCGTGTCTCACCCGTGTATAGAACGAAATTACAGAAAGCTGTGAATCCGATGTTAAAAGATAAATTTATACGTTCGCCGCGGTCCCCATGGGCTGCTCCTACTGTATTTAACAAAAGGATGGATGGAAGCCTACGCATCTGTGTGGACTACAGGAAGCATATGGATATTACACGAAACAGTTCTTTCTCGCTACCTATGATTGGCGGCACAGTAGAATCATAGCTTGTCGTCACTGGATCTTTACTGTGGACCTCGTTTCAGGTTATTGGCATGTCGAGGTACCCCTTAAAGACCTAGAAAAACTGCCTTCGTTTTACCCACAGCGATATATGAGTTTCAGACCATGCCGTTCGTGTTGGCTAATGCACCGGCGACCATCCATTGATTGACGCACATTTTGAGCAGAGACCTGCAACCAACCAAATGTCTTTTATACCTAGAAGATGTCGTTGTTCACGGACGTACTCTCGAGGGACATCTCTGGACTCCATAAGCAGTGCTGCCGTGTCTTAGTTCCGCAGGGTTGAACTTGAAGCCGTCTAAGCGCGACCTGCTGAAGAGAGAGGTTAAATATCTAGGTCACGTGAGCAGGGATTGTGGGATCCGGAGCGACCCATCGCAAGTACAGGATGGCTTATTTTGGCCTATTCTCGAATCCGTGGAAGAGGTTCTTAGTTTTCGGAGTCTAACCTATTACTACAGACGCTTCGTGAAGAACTATGCTGGTATGGAGTATCCTTGACCCGACCAATGGAGAAGGATCGGCCTTTTCACTGCAGCCCGAAAGGTCAGAAAGCTTTTGCTAAAGTATCTCATGCTTTAGCCAGCGCCCTAGTCCTTGCCTTCCGGGATATGTCACCGCAAGTCGCCTCATTAATCTTGGACACTGATGATAAGGGCCTTGGTATCGGCGCTGTGTTATCACAGATCTCTGAGGCTGGTATGGAACAGGTGGTCGCTTACGCTAGCCGCAGGTTGTCAAAAGCCGACCGAAACAATCGCACTACTTTGAAAGAACTGCTTGCTCTGGTCTACTTTGTTAAACATTTTCGACAGTTATAAATAAATAAATAAATAGGTATATTTCTAGACCTGCTAGAGGCTGCACCCTAAAGGGTTCAGATCAATGCTTACATTTATCCGATGCTCTTGCATGGAAGTTGGCAAAATATATGTTCATCTTGTTGGGACGACACTTTATTGTCCGCACTGATCATCAGGCGCGCCGGTGGTTGCGGGAATTTCACGAACCCGAAGGGCAAGTTGAGCTTTGGCAAGAACAACTGCAAGCCTTCGAATATGAATGTCAGCAACGCCCCGGGAAGCAACACAGAAATGCAAACGCACTGTTTCGCCGGCCGTCTATGGCACACAGGGATAGTCCGTCGTGTTCAAACTCGAACGTTGCCGTTGTGTCTCTGAACCATTCGGATGCAACAGATTAGGCATCAGCTCACAGTACGGATCCAGAGACCAAGTAGGTTTATGAGCGCCTACGACAGTGGAGTGTGATGCCTACAAAAGCCGAAATGGTTGGATATAGCTGGGAAGCGTACTGCTTATGGTATCTGTGTTCGAAACTTCGGCTAGTTTACGGTGTCATGTACTAAAGGCTCGGTCCGATTTACACTAGCAAACTTATCGTTCCACTGTTCGTGGTGCAGCGGATATGCCAACAGCTACCTAGGGAGTTGGGGCATGCGGAACAACGGAAAATGGAGCAAGCAGCAGGCTTGACTTTTGGTGGCCTCAACAATGTCGAGATATTGCGAACTTCCCTAACGCATGCCATGAGTGCGTCCGCTTTAAGCAAACACCAACAATGAACAGGGCGCACCTGCAGTCCATGGTGTGTGGATATCCCAATGACAACGTAGGTGTGGACGTCCTTGGACCGCTGCCTGAAACGCCACGAGGAAATCGCTATGTAATTTATTTTGGTCGATTATTTCACCAAATGGTGCGTTGCAATACCAGCCCCGTACATTGACACCAGATCACCAGCTCAGCTTATGTTTGATCACTGGATTTCATGGTGGGAGCACCTGAGCAACGTCAATCAGCTTGTGGTCTGAAGTTCGAAGGCTTCGTACTGTCTGCACTCTGCCGAATACCAGGCTTTCGAGCTGCTCGGACAACAGCCTACCATCCAAGGGCAATGGATAAGTAGGACGCACAAATCGATCGCTAAAGGCTCTTTTAAAACCGTTCACAGTAGAATACCACAGCCGCGATTGGGATATGGCACTTCTACAGTGCATTCCGTCCTATCGGTCCAGCGTCCACCCATCTACTTAGGATACTTTACGTTTCATGGTAACTAGGCGCGAAATGAGATTTGACTGTGCCCACCTCAGCTGCTCATCCGCTCCTTGCCTCAGACTATGCCGTTTGTCTACGTCGGGACCTGACCAGAGCATATTCGCTCGCGAGAGAGCAATTAGGAGCTGCCCATTAATGTCAAAAGGATTACTATGACCAGAAAGTGCACGGCTGTCCAGTTCAGCCTGGACGAGTCTACTTCCATCCTCTGAACCCATCTCAGGGCGTTCCGGCGAAGCTACACAAGGAGTGGTGTGGTCAATTCGTAGTCGCGGAAGTTTATACTGATTCTACCTGTCGAATTTACGGAGTAGGTTTTGGCATCGACTGTTCATACCTTGATAATTTTAATCGTCTCAACCCGACAACTCACAGTACTTATCCCCTTTCATCGTCTCAGCGTCTGGTTGGCTAGCCGAACAACCTCCTCGTGGTGCCAGCTGGGTGATTCGGGTTTACCCTCTTTCAGCAAATAGTTCGGCGGCAGTGTTCTAGGACGTGGTGGGTTTTCGCCTGGCAAGCGTTCTCTATATAAAAAGCCACATATGTCCGTTCAACAACACTGTGACGTGGCGGTTGTGACTCGCCGCTAACTAAAGTCACCCATTGCTTATCCGAACAATCGCTTCGAGTCCACAGATAGCAAGCAATGGCGACACCATTAAACACATTCAAGCAAAATGACAGGAAACATTTACCAATCCCATAAACAAAGCTAAACACGCCTACATGCAAACTTACATACATTCATATATAAATATATGCGGCAATCCCATTGTTTCATTGTACATTAACTGTTCATATTTTGTACTCTTAACATGATCATGCCCGCGCATGCGTGCTTCGCTTTGTCGGGAATACACATTTTATTTATTTATTTATTTATTTAATAGACCCTGATCCACTAGATGCGTTAACAGAAGTGTAAGTAACGGCCACATAGCCCCAGGTATCGATTACCAATTAGGGCGGCGAGGACGCCTCTCGGAGAGGAGGATAGTGTAGTGACAATGCTCCAACTATCTTGACCTCCTCTTTTTTCAGCTCGGCGGCCTGGCACGCCATCAAGATATTTGGGCTGCTCAGCAGATGGCAATGACTTTAAAGAACAATGGTAATTATTATTGTTGTACTCCCTATTCCGCTTTGTGTACAGGTAACCCTTTTTGTTTGAATTACCTGAATTTTGGGCTTTGCTAATTACACGCGGTCGGGTGCACGTTATGTTTTGCCCTGACTTTTTAGTGTGTTGTGACCACTGTGACGCGTGCTGCCGTTGGAGTGTGTTTTCCCTACGTTTTTCAGCCACTGTCGAGCTTTGGTGACCCCTGGATTATTACATGCTGCAGAACCAGCTATCAGCAAGGAAGAAAAGGTAAAAGGGAGCGAACCAGCATACGTTCTAAATAGGCATAACTATGTAGAAATGCTCTATTTATCCCAAAATACCTCGCAACCACTAGGTAGATGGTAGGTGGTCGCAAAGCATACTTTCCAGACACATGGCATACGTAGGCAAATAAGTGTTAATATCGCGAAACCCTAGAAATCCATTAAGGAATATTATGCATCCATTAAGCTTTAGGAGAGCACATAACTAACCGACAGTAAGTATGCCTCAGTATACCATTTTCAGTTAATGCTGTGCTACACAAACCTCTAGGAATAAAGAGTTTAGTATTTTTAATCCTCTAAGTGGTTCTGAAGTTCATATCAAGGCTGTATGAGCTAGGGCTGCCAGAATAACACAGGTAAACTTTGGGATCATTTGACACGCCTGTTGGTAAAGCTGCGCGCTTGCACCTGCTCTGTTTGACGTCTTGAAGAACAAAACAGCACTGAAGACAGATAAAGTCTCAACCGACCTTAGTTGGATTAGCAACTAGCACCCGCTTGTTTATATGTCACTCTCACCAATTCTCTAAACATCGCTTGACGGATTTGTTGCGGATAAGCTAGAAGTCGTTCAAAAATTCAATTACTTGGGAAGTCGTATCAGCCCCCGTGGGATTGAGGATGAGACCACGAACCGAGTTCACCTGAGCCGCTGGGCTCAACGCCACCAGCTTTGAAAATAAGAAAAGCGGAGACGCTAGCACCATACAACGCTGCGTGCGGGAATGGATTGTGCAGCGCTCTAGTGTTCAATGTTCCCGACGACATATCGGTGGAAACATTTAGGCGTGCAATCATTGCAGTTAATGGCATTGCAGAGAATGCCTTGCAGGTTCAAAGATTGACTAAGCGTGTAACCCAATTTGCGGGTCCCATCAAACTGAACGCAAAGGATGAGGAAGTATTGCATACTCTCATAGCTAACCGTGAACAGCTTCGCAGTGCAACAATGCTAAGCCAGCTTACATTCGGGCCGCTGAAAAGAAGCTTAGGTTGGGCTGCGACTAATCCTAACATCATTGCAGGCTATAGGCAACGCGAGCTTGGCGCATCCAAAAAGAGACAACGAGCTACACCTAACCGCTTAGACAGCATTGTGTCTAACACTACGAAGGATCCCAATGTCAAACGGGCTTGCGGAGCAAACTCACCTATTCACTCACCGACGACGGCTATGTCACCCACACAAGCCTTAATTAGCGCAAGATCAGTAGACAAACAGTCGCAGCAGCCGGGTTGGGACAATGCGTTGTTTAGCGTACTTGTATTTAATGTTCCGGATGGCGTATCGACGGGCGAGCTTCAGAGCACAATCCTTAAAGTTAACGGTATCGCGGAAAACTCGGTACACGTTGAGAGGATGGTCAAAAGAATCAGTAAATTCCCAGCCCCAGTCAAATTGACAGTAGACGATAGTAGAATCCTGCGCACTGTAATATTGAATTGTGAACAACTTCGCAATGCTCTCAAGTTAAGGCAACTTTATTTTGGCCCACCACGAGGGACACTACCCAACCATACCCCAGATACTTGTGAGACGGCATCGCGTACCACCACCGTTACCAATTCACCCACGGAGAGCACTGCATGTGATAATTTACGCAGCTCCGATCAACTACCTGCGCATCCAGGCTGTTATGTACCTGCTACATCCCTCAGACTTTCGCCGCCGGTCCAGATAAAATGGCCAAATAGTCCACTACTTCCTACCCCGCAACCTGCGCATTTTTTAGGCCAGGTGGGGATGAGCCGCGACAGTTTCATCCCGACACCAAACTCCTCGTCGCCCAACTACCAACTGCAATGCCTTCTCACCCACTTCTTACAACTACTGCAGATAGCGAAGTAAGCATCAACGGCTTCATCTCGTCATGCGTAAATCTAATAGACCCCAAGTGTTCTTTCTCACTTCTACTTATAAATGCTAGGTCCCTAAACAATAAAATGCATATCTTGCGTCCGTTGTCTGTCCTCGCCGACCCTGATGCAATATTTGTCACGGAAACATGGTTTTCCCCTTATGCTTCAGAGGAGGACTACTCACTTCCTGACTACCAGCAGTTTATGCAGTCGCGTACGCACAAACGAGGGGGCGGGTGCGCCATTTATGTTAAAAATACTTACCCAGCAAAAATGTCCGAAATGATGAACGCTGCTGAGGCGATGGATTCAGTATGGATAACGGCTGATATCCTGGGATCCACGATATTATTTGGGTGTGCTTATAGACCACCTGATACCTCAGCTAAGGGTGACAAGGCACTTATGGATGCTTTTGCGCAAGCGTCAACTTTTCCCTGCGATTACAAGCTCGTTGCAGGAGATTTCAACCTACCTGAGTTAAACTGGTTCTCACCTGCTGCAACAACGAAGTATGCTGCCCTACAAGCATGCATCAATTTAGGCGGCTGGACGCAACATGTATCTGCTCCAACCAGGGAGGAACACATCCTTGACCTAATATTTACTCTCAGCATCCCATCAACGCGAGTGGCAGTCGGCCGGGAATTCCCGGGTAGTGATCACAGATTAGTGCATTGCTCGGTTTACTTAAAGCCACATACTGCCCACCCAACAGAACCAGGTGCAGTCTTAGTATACCGCCCGATGCACCTCGTCAACTGGACAACCTTTGCTGTGCTCGTCCGATCAAATAATTGGGATGATTTCTTTATGTCTGATTCAGTGGATCGCTCGGCTGAGCTGTTTTATGAGGAAATACTCAACTGTCTCGACTCTCTAGCTCCCGTGTCGCATTTAATAAGGCATTCTTCTAAAAGTATGACCCAAACCAAAATGCATAACAGAATGCGTCAGCTTAGACGATCCTATTACAAAACCTTCAATTTTGCTCACATCATGAGAGCGAACGAGATGGCATACCAGTTTTCTGCCAGAGCTAAGCAGCAGAAAACCAAGCAAGAAATCGCCGCACTAAATAGTGCGAACAAAGCTAAGAGTCTCAGTTGGCTGCTGCGCTCTCGAACCTCTAACTTTGGACGAAAGTTCTCTACTCTAAAGATCAGTCCCAACGAAACGTCTAGTGACCCAAGAATTTTATGTGAAGCCTTCAGCTCACATTTTAAAGAATCTCAGTGTTTGGAAATAAGCTCAACCTTTCAGGCCATGAAGGTACCCGGTAGCCAGTCCCTGTCCTTTGTACAGTTTGACCTAAGTAGTGTCCGTTCCGCGATCTCAACTACCAAGCCATCCTGGGACCCTGGTCCAGACGGAATCCCGCCCAGTCTACTTAAGAATGGTGGTGAAGATATCCCTCTGCTTCTTCTGAAAATCTTTACGTTATCAATGCAAAAAGGTCAATGCCCGGCCGCATGGAAACATTCTATCATAGTGCCAAGACATAAGGGCGGAAGCCTACAGGAAGTTGGTAACTATCGCCCCATTAACCACACTTCCATTATCTCGCGCGTGATGGAGAAGTTGATTAAAAAAGCCCTCATGACTCATCTTTACGCAGGCGAGCACATAAATGAATCTCAGCACGGGTTTCTAAGTGCTCGGTCTTGTGCAACCTGTCAGCTGGACTTCCTTAATTTGGTCACCGAGGCCATTGACTCTAATCAATCAGTTGTCATTCTTTACCTTGATATGCAAAAGGCGTTTGACAGGGTACCACACATGCGCCTGATGCATAAGCTAAAGGCTTATGGGGTAGAAGGTCCTCTATTAGACTGGTTGGGTTCCTACTTAATAGGACGTACGCAGTCTGTTAAGGTTGAACAAACTATATCCACCCCGACCGCCGTCCCCAGTGGCGTGGTGCAGGGGAGTGTCCTTGGCCCTACCCTATTTTTGATTTATATCAATGACCTCTGCAAGATTTTGCAACACGGTCGCTCCTTTATCTTTGCTGACGATGTGAAAGTTGTCTACGACTTTCCCCGTGGCAATGAATTTTCCGCAATAAATAGTATCCGTGAGGATCTTAATGCACTTGAAAAGTGGTGCGAACACTGGCAAATGACCTTCTCCGCTCAAAAATCTAACGTCATGACCCACAGATTCTCTATACCTGCTGGGTCCCTAACAATAAACGGCAGCACTATCAAACAGGATATCATAACAACAGATCTGGGCTTGCGCTACTCTATGAGCCTCAACTTTGCAGAGCAAGTGCATTATCAAGTCGCAAGGGTAAGAGGATTATCGTTCCACATACGCCGTTACATAGAAAACGCCGATGCTAGGCTAGAACTTTATAAGAGTCACGTCAGGCCACATCTAGAATATTGCTCTTTTATATGCAGCAATCTACGTAAGTCAGACCGTGTTCTGCTTGAGAAAGCTCAGCGACGCTTTACGAAGATGTTGACTCCACCGCAGCAAGCGCTGAATTACCGACAAAGGTGTGAACACCTTAAAATTCAGCCGCTATGGCAAAGGCGCATTATCCTTAACATGTGCTTCTTACATAAGCTAATTCATAGAAAGTTGCACAGTAATATCACTTGTCTTAAACTAAGGAGCGCGTCTGAATCGAGACTCCGAAACAGGGGCCATTCCATTACTCCGCTAAAGGCAAAGAAAAGACTGCGGTCTCGTTTCTTCTTGGTTGTGTACGTGAACATGTGGAACAGGTTGCCTTCCAGAATAAGAGAAATCCAAAATTTGCAGGTCTTCAGGAAGGAGATACAAAAATTCCTATGTTTTGGTAATCTACAAAGCATCTTCCATATCTGCGATTCGCAAGACCACTTCTTTGAAACTGGCCCTGATGTAGCTTGAGGACGCCCAAGATGTAGTGCAAGACATCTAAGCACCTTGAGCTCAAAACTCATCCACATTCATTGTGGTTACCATTCTAGCACCTAAGAGACTTGCACGGTATCCGTCGCACCCATTTTCCAGGGTTTAAGAATAGCAAACGGAATACAATATGATCTTATTCTTCAACGACCTCTTCCTTCAATCCTTATTTCTTATCTACATCTTCATTCCTTCTCTTCAGACTTACATTTATCACTTTCCAACCTCTTGACCACTGGATCCGTGGAAAAAGTATTAGGCTTATGACCTCCATGGTACTCCTAGTAAACGCATGCTACCAGACCTAAGCCTTGCATAGGATGATGAAAGCGTTTTCTGCTGCTGATGCACCCAAGCTTAGCATTAGAATTGTCCAAAATCGTCTAAATGCCGGCTTTAAATGAACCTTTATGTGTCTTCCTAGATGTCGGTTGCCAGCGGGCCCTAATTGAAGCTTTTTCATTAAGTCTGAGCACTAGTTACTATACTCAGCAGTTTCCAAACACTATCAGTAGGTAAACAGCAAAATAAAACATATATCTTTCTTATTGTTGACAAAGAGCGTACTTTGAAAGTTCTAGGCCCAAGAATCAGACATTTTGCTCTCCACTTATTCTCTCTTGGCCCCATATACTTAGCTTTATCTGGTATACATGTGCCTTTCGCTATTGGCAACACTAGTAGACAGTCATAATGAAAACCAGATCCTCTTCTTTAACTGCTTTTGCTCGTAAAACACTCTCATTTCCAGATTTCATTTCACTGGCACGAAAGCCAACCAACGACAGAGAGGCCCCTGTCACACTGGCTGGCTGGAGCACCAGAAACTTTCCACCACCACTTTTCTTATCTTGGCCGCCCGTGTATCATTTATCTTTTAGCTGGCTCCAAAGCCTACCATGCGTTATGCGTAATGGTGGGTGAACGACCAGCTCCCACTGGTTTTTGTTACTATTCTACTCCTGATTTACCTTATCGCTCTTTGCTTCGGGTGCTAGAACAGCTCTTGCCAGGCAAATCACAAAAGAAATAGTCGGCGTGACATTAGAGTACCAGTTAACATTGCCATCTGGATGAACACCGCCGGCACTATCTTCGGAACTTAAGAACGGAGAGAAATAAATCAAAATTCATCAAAGAGCTGCACAATAGTGTGCATCTACACACGAGGCATAACAATAACTCAAGTGTGAGCAAGCTCAACCACCAGAAGTAGAGCTGTTAAAGCCCAACCAATGTAGACCAAAACGGATTTCACGCCCAAATGCAATTAGCTAAATTTTACTAAATTTTCCCATGCTTATTTCTTTATTATTGGTGACAGGCTCCTGTAGCTCACTGATGTTAGTGACAGAGCCTCATGAATATAGAAAATCGGCTCTAAGGGATAAATCTTGTGATGTTTAGCCAAGTAATGTGTCTATTTTGCAGGCCGAAATCTGTCAGCCGATCTGAAAGACCCCCTGGTTTACTCAGGTAGACCTGGCTCATGCGGTCTTGTTATAAGCTTTAGTAAAGCTTAGAGGCTTAAAAAATGCTAAACTCTATTTTACTGGTTGTTTATGTGGCTCAGTATCCCCTGAAAACGGTATGCCGTGGCCTTCTAACCGTGAGTTAATTACAGGCTCCCCTGAATTCCCATGTAGATATAATATTCCTTGCTGGATTTCTAGTGTTTTCGCGCAAAACCATCCCTTATTTGCATATATTTATCATGTATGCCTACAAAGTTTACTTTTCGGCCACCTGCGCAGCCCGTAGTTGTCGCAGGGTATTACGGGCTAATTAGAGCATTTCTGGATAGCCATGCCCATCTAGATCATATGCCGCTTCCCTACTTTTTATGTTTTCTTTTCTTTTTTCTGCTATCTGCTTGCAAAGCAGAAAGCCATTTTTAGCGAAAAATAAAAATGGCCTTATTCGTAGACCATCATTTAATTGCGAATAACTCGCAAAATACTGCACGTATTGTGTTGCTTTTAAGTTCAGCGTATTCAGGCGCTAAAGCTGGTCCAGATCAGTGCAATTTTGTGCTACTTTAGGCGGTATTGTAACTGTAGAAGGGCATTTTCTTTTATCTGAGAATAACTCAGGTTGAAATTTCGCGCCGGAGAGCAATATCAGCGTAAGAAAAGTAGGGCTCTATTTTTTTGTTAATTGGTCTTTTTCTACTAAAGCGCGCGGATTTATTTACTCTCTTAACAAATTGTTTCTATTCTTGCCTGCATTTATCGAAATTTTTTTTAAACTTTTTGTATGCCTTATAATCCCTTCACTCATTTCTTCCATGTGCGCAACAACAATTGGGGCAACTGAGTGGCCAATTAATGTGCGATCAATTTAAAGTGAACTTTCGGCGAATTGGATTCTGTTCCAAGGAGAAAAGGCACAACTCCGCGAAGTTTTTCACAATAAAAGAACAAGGAGCTCAAGATCGCCCGAAGGAACCAGAAAACGTCAAGGTGGGCGCCTGATACCCAGTAGCTGTATACCAAACAGTGCCAATGCATTTGGAATTTCTAACGATGAACATATATTTATATTTTGCCTACTTCCATGCAAGAGCATCGGATTAATGTAAGCCTTGATCTGAACCCTTTAGGGTGCAGCCTCTAGCAGGTCTAGAAATATACCTATTAAAGCAGCGGACCTGAAGAGGCTATTTACGTTCGACCACCCGTGCCTTCGTAATTTAGCTCGCATCTGGTGGGAACACCGCGTGAGCAACGAGCTTGTTCTGCGCCTTGTTTATGGAACGGAAAAGGAACTGAACCGCTCCGCACCGTTATTTCAAGCACCAGACTCCGATGGCTCGGCCACGTGTTACGCCTGCCAGCCCACCGACTCCCGCGACGTGCCTTGTTTGCGCGCCTGGGTGTGGATGGAAGACAAGGAGGGTTGGCCAAGTGACGACCTGGTCTAGGGGAAAGAGGGCCAACACTTCTGAGCTGGCCACGGTTGGAGCATCTCGGCTCCCTGGTTGGGGCCCGAAAGACGTCACATCCGCCAAGTTGCAGTGTTGGTAAACCAACATTTGTGACTTTTGTGTAGGGAACGCTTGTCAGGCGAAAATCCACCACGTCCTGAAACAGTGCTGGAACACTGACCGATTAGTTTTCTGTTAGTCGAAGTCAGGATACATCCATAACTTTTCCTGGCTTATGCCTGATGTGCAGGGGACTGTACCAGCCATGTTTTCTGTCACTTCCTTAAGGAAAAGCACGGCCAGTCCTGTTGGTAAACTATAAATTGAGCATTTTGGAATATTTTCTATTGGTCTTCTGTAGAACCGTGTAATATCTCGGAGAGGTATCCAATAATATGACGTCAGCGCAACATTCATGGCCTTGCTATTCTCTTCCTACTTGCCTTTCATTCTTAAACCCTTTGGGCCAGTCCGGCCTCTGAGGCTCCAAATGCTCATAGGTCTCAATCCAAGGCCATGTTTTTGTAGTGTCCTCACCCAGACCATCGGACTGGTGTCTTTCTTATTCTAACAGCACCAGGTTCTGCGCACGAGAATATTTTCGGGCCTCGTCCACTCCTCTGTTTAACCATACTCTACATACTGCGTTTGGCAGGCTAAATGAGATGATCAATTATCTGAGCCGGTTCCTGCCCAAGTTAGTTGATGTTATGCCACCGATCAGGAACTTGACTCATAAGGGCGAAAGCTAGCATTGGGGTGCAGAACAAGAAGTGGCCCCCCAGGCAATCAAGGAACTCATCACTAACTCACCTGTTCTCGCCTGCTATAATCCGCAACTCACCCTCGAGATTCAATGCGACAGCGGTCAATTTGTTATCGGGGCGTACTCATGCAGAATGGGAAACCCATCGATTTTTGCAGTAGGACGTTGACAGAGACCGAGCGTTGGTACGCCCAGATGGAAAAAGAGATGCTTGCAGTGGTTTACACCGTCGAACGTTTTCATGACTATACATTTGGCCGGAAGCCTACAGTGTTTACAGATCACAAACTGTTGGTTTCCATCGCCAACAAGCCACTACATGTTGTTCCTTGCCGCTTACAGGGAATGCTTATTTGCCTTTAAAAGTACTACCTTGAGCTTGTTTATCGACCTGGTCCCGAAATGCATATCGCAGACACGTTATCCAGGGCATATCTGTCAGACACACCAAAGGAAGACGAAGGTTCAGATTTCGTCCATGCAGCAAAACTAGTAGCTGTTACCGAGGAGCGACTGAAACAGCTCCAGCAGTGCACGGAGGAAGGCGGGTTATGCAAGCTACTAAGGCAGGCAATACTAAGTGGCTCGCCCAAGAACAAGTAAGATCTACCAGGAGAGCTGACCCCGTTTTTCCATTTTCGTGATGAACACTTCGTCCAAGATGGGTTGATATTCAAAGGCAATAGGATACTAATCCCCGAAGCGTTGCAGCGCGCGATGACAGAGCTTGTCCACTATGCACATTTGGGAATTAACAATTGTATGGCCAGAGCGCCAG